CTTGCCTCCCATTCTTTGCCACACATCTCTGTAGTCATTTCAACTCACTTAGAGAGCTACAAAGCACGGAGGCCCAGACAATGTCTTAGGAAAATAGAAAGTTGCCTCCTAGGAAGTCTGACCGTTGTTCAGTCTAGGTCAGGATTGTCTTTGCTCACTGGCACAGTTCTTCAGGTTTCAGGCAGATGTCTTTCCCAGCCCAACCTAGAAATGCTGTGGATTTAAGCTAAGATTGATGCAGAGCATGTCTGCTACAACTGGGCCATAGTGTTTTTCTATCTTGTGCTGAAGTTCCACATTGAGAAGAGAGGATTTGGTTGAGCACTGCATAAGTCCCATTTAAAACATCTTGCTCCGCAGTGGCTATACTGGAAATCTGAGAGGTCCACCCCAAAATTCCATGAAAAATTGTAGATGGCACTTGACAGTAACTACATATTCTAAAACTGTTCTCTTTTGGCAGGGACAGTCTCCATTAATACTACTTTTTCAGTAAAATCAACCCTCTTAGGTTCATGTTTCTTGGACTCATTTCAGATTCAGGTTTTGGACTGAAACTATTCATTGTGTTTGAGCTCTATGGATTTGTTTCTCCTGAGTGATGTTTATTTTCCTGAATTTCAGAATGACTATAGAAACATGATAACAAGGATGTTCAAAATCTATTCATTTAAAAAAAAAATGCTGTTTCATCCTTTCCATGTACTGCCATTATACATCCAGGACACTTATCCACAAAAGTGGATACAAGTGGGTCTGTGTCATCATCTGCTGCTCCTAACTGCAAAAATATTAATATCTGCAGTAGGCTTAATTATGTATCATAGTCTTTGTTAAAAGCACAGGCAGTATAGTATGATGCACCTCTGAATCATAAGTTTACATTACATAGAAAATTGCTTTAATTCTAGCCAGAATTCCTTCTCCATACATTATTTTTTTCACTTTTTAAAAACCTTGCCAGCAGTATACTACAATGAATCATGGAGAGAGCATCTTACATCGTAACCATTAGGCAGAATGAGGCAGCAGAAGCTGGGAGGGAGGAAACAGTATGTCAGCCCTCCAACTGTTCCTTCTAAGCTCCCAAACAATACCTTCTATGGAAGAGCAGAACAGGTAGTTAGCTACAAGGGGGGAAAGCAAAATGAGGGCATTACCACTTCCAAATAAAAATCCTGCTCCCACAGAATAAATTTCCCTTCAGTCCTCAGACTGGAGTAACTTAAGTTGCATGTTGAGAAATAAATATATTAGTTTGGGGGCAGGCAAAGTACCAGTGGAATGTGAACAAAGCAACTCTGCAAGTTCTAGTTGTGAATGGTTTTCAGTGTCTCCCTATTTACAATGACAAATATTTGGGCACTGTAGGAAATTTTCATAAGGGGAGCAGACTTCCTATTTGTGGAGGTATACCTTCACACACACACACACACACACATCATAGTTATACTCTTGCATATAGATTATCCTGTTCTATATTAGCCTGCTACCCTCAGATACAGTAGAGGAACCTATCCCACTGCCTAGTATTTTCCAACTACTAGTTTAAATGAAATTTAAAATGAAAGATGCCTTGAGTCCCTGTACTGGGAGGAAGGTGGGATATAAAATATAAATAAATATCTGCACACAGATTTTTTGAGGGGTGGGGAGCCATTCCATCCTTTTCCTCAAATCACATATATACACTGCTCTGGCTGTAGGTTCAGAATCTTATCCAAAACCCATCTTGTTCAGTATTGCAGTCTTCTCCAACTGAGTTTCAGGAAGAGCTTTTCTATATCATATTCTTCCAGATAAATTAAAGGGAAGAGAGAGTGGGGTGGAGGAGAAAAAAAACCTAAAGATGGCAGGGATTAAATCTGGATTTTCAGCATGCAAAGCATGTGTTCTTTCACTGAGCTATAGTCACTTACTATTTCCATTTATCAATTGCACAGTTGTCTTTAAGTGAACAAAAGCATGAACATTTAGCCTGCTACTTATAAATGCTAAAGTGCTGTATTCTTGTTCAGTGGCACATCCAAGAGTTCAGACAATCTTAGAAGAGTATAAGAATGCCATTAAGCTAAAGCATGCCAAAGTACCTGAACACCTTAACCTTATCTACTTCAGAGAGAGAGGGAGGATAGGAGAAATAAGGATCAGAAATAAGGATAAAAATGAAATGATTTGGTAGGGAACAGCAAAAAAACAAATCAGCTGTTGGCTGGAAGGCAGTTTGATTCTCTGTTGGCTAAAATCAAATGTTCCACTTGTCTCCCCTCTTGATCATTCCATGTTCTACTCTTGGGTGGCCCATGGATTTGTTTCTTTTGTAGTTCTCTTGCTTTCTGAGCAGTAGTGTTCCAGTTATGAGCCTCAGCACTGAAGTCTGTGTGGATAATTGAAATGAATGCTAATGACTTCCTTTGCTAAATCGAGAAGAAGAAAAAGAAGGAGCAAGCAGAACTGTAAGAAGGCAGTTTAAACACACACACATGCACACACACATATACAGGCACACACAGGCTTTTCTATCCATGCTCAATAGCAATGAATTGCATATTTCTCTCAGGCTTTTCAACAAACAATTTACAGTGTAAATATATTTGTTGGCATGCAAATCACTGCACATTATGAGTGTTGATTAATATTATAATATGTTGATGAATGCTAGTAAGTGGCTCTTGGAGCCAAGGATCCGGATCACCACTTCTGGGTGTTGTGCATCTACTGAGTATTAGATTAGATGTGGGTGTCATTTTTATAATGTTTGTATTATTTGCTGTTTTTTTTTTTTGTATGGTACTTTATATATGATAGACTGCAAGTAGTCTAATAATGACACAGTCCACTGCCCAATTAATGTTTTTTTTTTTTTTTCATATCACAATGCCAGCGGTCTCATTTACACATTATGGCTGAGATCCTATATCACTTTATCATAGCATAAATATTCCCCAGCAGAGTTGCATTATGCAACTCCTAAACTGGATACCTATGTAGTGCAATGTACGCGGACCAATGGTCAATCTACATGGCTTACAATCCTTGTGCAATGCCAATGTGCAATGAGAAAAAGCAATGCATAGTCATATGCTATTCTGTGAATTTTAATGATCTATTGCATGTACAGTGGTCCCACATCCACAATTCCGCTTATATTGCCATCATCCAGAAAAGCCATTAGTGGGATATGACCATTCTGCATTGTCTTCCCCACCTCACAAAATAATCACTGCACATGCATAATGCAATTTACATTTCTGTATGTCACTAACAAGTGTCTAAATACCCTAAAGATGTCAAACCCCATCTCATATTGGAATCTAAACAAGATCAGCCTTGATTAGTATTGGGATTGGAGACTGCCAAGGAATACTATGTGACATGGACTGTATTTCAGAGGAGAGATCTGGCAAAACCTCATCTGAGTATTCCTTGCCCAAGAAAACTCTAGGAAATGCACTGGGTCATCATAAGTTGGCAGGTGACTTGGAGGCAAATACACACACATCACTAACAGGAAGCCAGCGTACAGGTGAAACCAACATCTGATTTGTGCCTCTGCACACTCTTTGACCTTACTCAATACTTCTACACTACATGTCTTCAAACACATCTCAGACCAGAAGAAACCCCTAACAACTGGAAATGATCTGAGGAACCAGGAGTATATTTCATTCTTAAATCCAGGAAGTACAACATTAATAAAATGTCTGGTTGGAATGCCCAGATACAGGGAGCAAATCACTAGGGTAGTCCATCTCCCTCACACAACCTCTCACTTAGCTGAGAGTATTCAACTTTGATTAAAGCATTGCCAACTGGTGGTTGTCTACCCTCTTCCACAAACATCATGCCCCATCCAACATAATTGTCCCCATTTTTGAATGGCTATTATTTTTAAGACATTTTTCCTAATTTTCAACAAAAATCTACCCCGTTTTGTCTTGTGCATGTTAGCTGCAGTCCTGCTGCCTCAATAGTCTCAGAGAATGGGGGTCAAATTCGATAATAAATGCATCACTTTTTTTTTTTTTTACAATGGTAGTCCCCTGTTTACTGAAAGACATCTGTCTGTCATAGCATGTGCTGTTCCTTGCTTACATATCTTGCATTTATCATGCTTTGTTTTGTGATTAAGTGGAAGGTAAACATGGACTTCATTCAGAAGTCTCATTGCTGACTCATGTGTCTTAAGGGTAATTCCACTGTGGGAGGGAATATAGGATAATTCCCCCCCCCTTTTTTATTGTAATCTATTTTCATATTTACAGCAGTAAGATAAATTTATCATACATTCCATTTCACTCTAATCTTAATACATAATAATGGAATATAGGTTGATTTTAAATAATATGCTTTCCCTGTAACATTTAATTCAACCCTAAACTTTTGTCCTCTTCAAATTCCCTTAAGGAATCTGAAAGGTGCTATCATACCCCATTCAGTTTTCTCTTTTTTTCAGGAAACTCTATCAGTCCCTTCATGGTGCCCAGATTTTTTTTTTAATGTATATGATAATTTAAAAAGTTGCAATTAGTTGTGTCCTAGTGCTTCAGGAACAGAAATGACACAACTCCAAAATTCCTTTTGTTCTTCCCCTTGCATTGAGAAGTGCCCAGTTTTTTTTAATTTTACTATAACAAATCCTAATCATTCAGTGTTGACCCTTTCAGTTTGTCCATGCATCTCATGAAATGAACCATAGCCACAGTAAGGGCTTAGCTCATCCAGTGTTCCTGTGCCTTTTAATTCATCTTGTTCTGCAAGGTAAATTTTGCTCCAGGAGAAATGAGCTGTTCCTGACAATAACTCTCTCATCTGTGACTCCAGCAAAGAGACTAAAGCAATTCTCTACCAACCACGGCTCAGTTGTTATGGACAATGAGTGGCTCCCATAGCTCTATTTCCAATGCTTTTAGAGGAGCAGGATAGGATGAACAAACAGCATAGACATGGTATATTGTCTCTGTTCTTGGTCCTTTCTGTTGATTTTTATTATCATGCCTGGGGATGTAGCTCAATGGCAGAGTACATGCTTTGCATGCAAAAGGTCCCAGGTTCAATTTATGGCTTCTCCAGATACGAAAAGACCTCTGTCAGAGACAACCTGGACAGTTGCTGAAAATTACTGTAGATAATACCACACTCGACAGATCAATGGTCCAGCCTATACAGTGAGTTTCTATGTTCCTGTGCCACTCAGGGATAACCTTCCACTTTAGCAGCATAGTTTGTGGTTGTTCTGTGCTTTTAAGTTATTTTCAACCTATGGTGAACCTATCATGGAGTTTTCTTGGACAGATTTGCTCAGAGGAGGTTTGTCTTTGCCTCCCTCTGAGGCTGAGAGTGTGTGGCTTACCCATGATCACCCAGTTTCCATGGCTGAGCAGGTATTCAAAACCCTAGTCTGCAATGCTCATATCACTACATTATGCTGGCTCTTTGCATGATAGCAGCCATATAATACTCTTGCCTTATGCCTCCTGAAGTGGATGGGTGGAGGAACATTGGCAGAGAATGTTGGGGCTAAATGGGCAGTAAGCCAGGTTTGGACAGAGAGAAACAAGAGGGAATTTTTAATGTTTTTTAAACCAGCCGCGGGAGAACTTTTAATGACAGCTTCAAGTTCTGACCTTTGTTAACTGCTGTTTTGCTTGAAGAGTGACAGAGACTGCTGTAAATACCAAGTTCTTGGCATGTAACGTTCCACAGATTGGCACAACTCTGAGCAGGTTGTACAAGGGTTGGCTGGCTGTTAAAGTGCTAAAAGCCTGAAAGACTAGCAGGTCAGGAGAGATAAGCATCAGGACTGGAAAGGCTGAAGATGTTCAGACATCTTTGGCAGTTACATAGCACTCCTAGTCATGTCTGCTAATTAAAGATTCAGTGTATGCCTTTTGAACCACAGAGTCCACAAATAGTCAACTGTTGAGCTTGACACTCCAGTTCCTATAACTCCCCCCTCCCCACACACACACCAGCTAAATTGTTTAATGTACATTTTCCATGTGAACATTAATGTCTGTTCCTCCCTCTAAAATATGCATATTGAATGCTAGTGATTTCCCCCATTATAGAATGCCTAAGGGTGAAATACATATTTTTGTGTAGGCTTTTCCTGATTCTGTACATTTTTTGTGTGTGTTTTTGGCCTGGGTTACTCTATTGCAAAATTTGCAAAAGTGCATTTCAGTTTGCTTTTTTTTTCTTTTCTAAGTTCAGTAGGTACACATGTAGTGAGTCCACATGCTGATTTGGACTGAAGATATTTCTACCGCCTCTCTGGTTGAAATCTCCATTCATCAATGAAGTTCATTCGGAAACACGAGGCCAGTCACTTTCATAGAACCTAACATAGATAGGATTATTGCCTGGTAGGGAAGGTAGGGACCACCGAACTTTGAACCCTTTGGAGTAAGGTTGAGATTGCAAATGCAATAAATTAATTATTTTAGTGTTTTGTTTTTAAGTAGTAGGATGTACAAAAACAGAAATTCCAACTGCATCTTAATTCAAAGTAAGGATGTATATCTCTACTTTTTTCAAACATGTGGGCAAGAATGAA